CACCCCAAACTTTAGTTGAGATCACAAATGGAGTGAATTAGGACATAGTGATTCTCTCAATGAAACATGAACTTAATATATATCTATGTATATATATATTTATTTATATTTATCTTAGGTTGCCATATAATGTTCAATGCACCATGCATGCAACAGCAACACTGCCATGGCCCAGCGCCTAACGAGGAGGGAGCATATCAAAGCCAAGTTTGTAAGTTTGTATTGCTTTAAATTCCACTAACAAAAGGCTCATTGCTCCTTTATATCAAAAGAGATATGGAATCCACCGTGAAAAAGGGCCATTAGTAAGTATCCCTTTTTGCTTCACTACTCTCATGTCTGGCTCTTGAATTGGAAAGTTAATTGTTCTTACGTATATGTTATCTCAGGACACTTTGTGCATATCATAGTGCTCAATAATTGATATTTTTTCTTTGTATGTTATATAATAAACTATACAATAAAAAATAACTTTCTAATTCCCTTAATTTCTCTCCACCAATATCAAGGTTTGTATTCAAATCCTTTAATTTAAAATCTCAAACTCTTAACCTTTCTTGATACTCTATTAGAACTCAATAATTGATTTTTCACTCAATAATTGCATCCAGCCACAATTTGTTTTGGTTGTAAAAGTAAAAGGGCAGTGCAAAACGAGAGCCTAATTATGTATATATGTTTCTTAATGCTCTTATTCATCCACCTTCATCCCATGCGAGCAAACATGCCTGCTAGCTGCGACCTACCGTTACATTAATTTAAATCAAACATATATGTACCGGTACAGGTACATATATACAGCATGATTTAAGGATCACTTTAACTAATTAATTAGTTAAAGCCCACTTGATCCAATCAATTTGGTTAACCCAAAGGTAATAGCCATGGCCACCCACCCACCCACCAGAACCCTCACGGATGACCTCAGGAGCGGCGCCTTCCCCAAAACAGCCCCCAACCACCCAAACAACACAAGAGCCAAGCTCACTGCACCGACCACCACAGCTAGCCTCACCTTGTACTCCCTTAGGAAAGAAGCAGCCAAAAGCGGCACCATTGCACCAGCAGAAAATGCAAGGGCTGAGGCTGCTGCCGCCTGAAACGGGTTTGGCAAATCCTCCTTTTCCTTTCCTTCCTCTTCACTCCCTCCTTCCCTGTCCCTCTTTATTTGGGCCAACTCTATGTCCAACTGCGAGTGCACGGACACAAACTCGCCGATGGCCATGCTGCAAGCTCCGGCCACAAGACCAGCAAATCCCGTGAGGATCATGGCCTTGATATCTTGTTTAACAGCGCCAATACCCATCATCAATGACGCCGTGGAGACAAGTCCATCATTGGCACCTAGGACCGCAGCTCGTAGCCATTGTGATCGTTTAGAGTAATCAAAGGCATCATTTTCCAGAGTTTTCTCGAGCTCTAGGGCACTTGGCTGCTCAACATCATTAGCAGGGAGGTTGAATTTTATATTGGACTCCATGGAATTTATATTTTCTGAAGAATGAAGAGCTTATTAGATAGAAGGCAGTGAAGGGGAGAGGAGATATGGAGAAATAAGTATGAACGGATACATGCCTCAAGTGAAGGGTATTTATGGATGGAGGCATACAATGGTAGGACAAATGTGGGGTATGAGCACTGATGCAAAAAAATTTATTTTTTAATGGCAAAATTATTGTTGTATATATATGTTGAGAATTACTTTCTTTATATATTAGATTAGAAATTTTGACGATATATATGAACAACCGATTTTCCCTTGAAATGGTGAATGCTATGTGTCTATTACTTTGAGCACTTATACCTTATCAGAATGAGTCATGAGTCATGACTAAAGCATGACAATCTAACAAATTAAAGCAAACAAAAGAAGATGGCTTTCTTATAATAGATATGCACCCTAGACAAGAAAACCGTTTTGGGATTCTTTTGCATGCATCTATGCGTTTTTTTTCTTTTTCTTTTTTTTTTTTGTGTGTGTCTATTAGATATTTAATTATTTTTGTATATTTTTATTATCGTTTTAATGAATGTTTCCTTAGTTTGGGATTACGATTTAAAATTTAGTGCGTTTTTTCTCACCGGCAATGTACCTTTTTTTGGAAGATATTGCTCTAGCTAGGAGCCTCGTATGAAGTTGCTAAGAGCCATAGACACGTAAGAAAGACTTCGAACGTAGATATGATTAAGCATGATAAAAGTTGACTCAATTTGATAGTATGTTAATTTTTTTTTCTTTTTGTGATCAATAAAAAAGATTATAAATATTATTAAATGGAACACATGTATTCTAATCCATTACAAGTTATAAGAATGTAATTAGGAGTGCAAAACTGCAGAGAAATGTTGATTTTTAGTCAAGCCATGCACGCCAATTTGTACCCCGTTTGAGACCTTGATTTTCTAGTTCAAAAAGCTGCGCAATTAATTCATGGAAGAGCTTATCCAACCGAAGTCCTTGTTTGTAATGTTGTTCAGAAAGCCTTCCACCCTGTTAATGAGGAAGTTCAGATACAAAGGTTTCATCATATCCACCTTTGGCCAAGACATCAACTCCCTAGAATCACAATCAAGTATTAAATTGTTAAGAGTATCAGTACCATTCCCTTCCAACAAACCACACCCACAACAGCAATCCTTCCTATAGTGTCCTCCCCAGTCGTTCCTTTAGCTGGACCATAAAACATAAATATGAAAATGCCTTTGCTATCACGAAGAATACCACCAAAAGCTGCTTTGCCTAATCTATCAGCAACAACTGCAGCAATTTTAAGTTTAAGCCAGCCATCCTTTGGTCTATGGGGTTAGGAGGAGTGAAATGGGTTATAAGTAAGGATAGTGGACTCGTAACTCATATAAGTGGGATCATAATTTGTAAAATCATAAAATAGATGGGTTATAGGTAATTGTCTTCTCTGACCTGCCAACACATTTGATCATCCATCTAACCTATGACCTGCAATGATAATTCAACCCGATAATATGTGGTGGATGTTGGAAAAAATAGCATAGCAAAATGAAATAGTTTCTATGAATAAAACATGTGAACAATAATAAAAAATAATGAAGTAGGCAATTTTATTAGTCAATATTAATATTTAGTGATAAAAGTAGTTTAGCCAACCAAGTAAAATAAAATAGGCAGTTTAACCAATTACTTAAGAAGGAAAAAATAAATAATAAAATAATACCAAATTTTACGTGAAAAAATGCTCAAAAAACTATTGAAGAAAAAACTACAAGACAAATTTTCAACAGTATTCCATTATATAAAAAAATTGTACAAAGTATACACTCAAGTGTTTTTCTCTTTTGGTGTTTCTCACTCTCCTAGAATATGATTTCAATCTTGATAAACTCATAATTTTATCACTCACTGTACTCTCTCTATGGAGCACACTTACTCCTAAATTTAGTTCTTAACCCACCCTTTTTCTTTTCTCACCCTGAGCTCTCACCTTGGAAGCTCACTCACTCACTCACTCACTCACTCACTCACTCACTCACTCACTCACTCACTCACTCACTTTGGTATATTGCTTTACTTCTTGCAACATGTTGCTTTGCCTTTACATGGGAATTTATAGGATGGGAACCCAAGCACCTGTGCAAAATATTCTCTACCTCATTCAATGAGTAAACTTGCAATGGTTAAAATAACAATGTAAGATTTCAGCGAGTGCTGCTATAGGTGTAGCCTTTTAACTATAGGATGGTGAGAAATATTTTACCACATGAAAATCCATGTGTTCACATGAGATGTACTTTCTGCCAATAGAGGAGCTGGAAAATATTTTTAGGAGGTGCAAAATGAAACATTAATTAAGAGTCTATTTGGTGTCACTGAAGCTTTTGATAAAAGTCTTACTTGAAAGAATCTATTGTAAAAAGTTCTATTTTTGAGAAGCAGAAATGTTTGGTAAAATTTTTTATAGAAATACTTCCAAATTGAAAAGTTTTTTGGTAAATTTTTTATAAAAGACCTTTCAATCTAATATAATGCTAAAATAATTGAAATGAACATTTTCTACTTACTGAAGCACCACTCCCACTCCATTTTTTATTTTATATTTTTGTAGAACTTCAATTTTTTAATTATTTTAAGGTTGATAATTAAAAATTGATTCTTCATATTTTAAAACATAAATGCTAGATAAATACTTATATTTTAATATTAAAAAAATGAAACATGCTACATTTAAGCCACATAAATAAGATAATAAAATTAAAAACTATGCTAAATAATCATCCTCACCTTTTATATCATAGCATATCTAAAATGGGTATGCGTCAATGCACTCTCCTTTTGACAACCTAGTCCTCAAGGTTGAGAGGTTGAAATTCAAAACTTATATCAACTTATATATCCATGTACAACATGTACAACTCTGCCCCAAACAAGCAACATCCATATTTCTTCTATCAAACAACACATCACTAAAATTCCAGAAACTATGTGAAGCAAATTCATGAATGCATCTCCTTTCCCTAGCATTAGTATCTAACCAAGAGAGAGGTAAATGGCCATAGCCACTTTGTATAACAACCAAACACATCTTCATTCACACCAGCTTCTTGAATGAAGAACAAACTCCATCAACAAGCGGTTTCATCATTAAGAAATTCAGCAACTCAATCTTTTTCAAGCTAGACACATGGAAAAGAACTTTGAAAAATTCCCAAGAACTAAACTGTGAGAAGAAATACTGCTCAAGGAATTGTGACTTCAACTTCTATTATAGCTTTGAATACACATGTTCCCCCTCTTTCAATAGCTTGTCTTTGATACATTTGCAATACTTAAACCACAGATGTGCTCCTACCGCCTTGAAGATATCCTTGTCCTCAAGGACAAGTGCCACAAAAAAACTCCAATTTCTTCTTACATTTTCTGAAATTCTGTTGAATCTTTTTTGAAATTACTAGGAAACATTCCACAACCTGTAACATTGTCTTACACTTCTTATAATCTCACACCACACAATTGATCAATCCCACACAACCATCAGCATCAAACAACTTGGCTTCCAATGCAGATATACCATCTTCAATCATTTCAACCAAGTTAACAAGCAAAATCCTATATTTCAATACCATTAGATGTTCAACATATGATTCAGACTCATTTTCCTCAGGTTCTTGATTTTTCATTTTTTTCTTCTTCAAACATTAGTTCGTTTTTCTTACTCCTCAAAGAATATAATTCCTCAAGTGTCATCTCATCAATTTCTTTACTTAACCCCAATTGCGTACTATGGTTTGTAACTTCAAGTTCTTGATCCAAATGAGGTTTTATTTCAAGATCAAAATTTTGGGTAATAGGAACTAGGGTGGGTACCAAAGGCAACTCAATTTCTCCAATTATAGTCATGCCTTCAAGATCAGATACGAAATCAAAGGTACTAGAATCCCTTACATCGCAATCTTGATTGTGAATTTGGCCTTGAGTTGTATGAATCTAGGTTTAGGATGTTTGGCTAACCTCCAGTGTTGGTGAGTTCCATCCGTCATTGATTGCTTGTATCATGGCAAACCCTTCCCTCAGAGCATTCCTTATGGCTGTCCCTAGAGCATTCCTCATGGATGACAACCTCTCCTCCAAATTTGCAAAATCAGCATCATGTTTTCTCTAGAATTCAAAGAACTTTCTTTGTAGTTCTTGAAAATCTACATCTTCAACCATGGCTTCTATATTGATGAATCTTGATTTAGGTTTGTAGGGTTTATAGGATAGACAAAGGTATTAGAAATGGAATTTGGGGATTTTGATGAAATTGGTACCACAGGTCAAGAGGAAAGAAGCTCTAATTCCAAATAGCAAAATGAGTTCTTGACAAGGACAAATGTGGAGCCTCTTCTTGTTCATGCTCCTCTTCCTCTTCCTCCTCCTTACTTTCGAAATTCAAATGATTATCGTCGCAATAAACATTATGGTTTCTTCTTTGTTCATGGCTTTGGCTCTATCTCCAAACCTTGATTTCCCATTGTTGTTGATGGTGCTGTTGTTGTTCTCCATGAGATTCTAATCAATTTCTTATTCCAAATCGAGACAAGAAGAAGGGGCAAGTAACATTGTAGAGTTAGGGATTTGTTATAATTTGTGGTGTATATATAGGAGTCTTAGATGTAAATATGTAAAGGAATCATGAGCAAAATAGGAGGGTGACAGTTTTCATTAAAGATGTAGAGAAACTCACCAAAAAGCATGAATTCTTTGCTTTTTCATTTTTGATTTGTTAAAAGCTCAAAAACAACTTTTCATGCACTGGAGCTTGTGCTCATAAAACAAGTGTTTGGCACCGCATGTGATTCTATAACTGAGAAGTACTTCTTAACAACTCCACCAAACACACACTAAGAAAGAGACTAAAATGCTATGAATAAATTACGAATTTAATAATAAGGTAAAACTAATAAAAATAAAATATAATGGATATAATAAATTAATATTCAAAAGTTTGGGATTGATGACCCACCAATTTGTTATGTCTATCTATAATTAGCATAAGTATTTGAATTTTTTACCAAATTAAACTTTCCATTTATAGATATTAAATAAGATTTCACTTAAAAATAGAATATATTTATTTTTATCAAAATGATTTGAAAGGACTTGAATCTGCATTTTCAAACCTATACGACTTCTCAATTGCATCATATTAAAAAAACTCAATTATACTATACTATGGGACAACTTGTGATATGATCACAAAGAAGTTGCATCGTGCACAACACAAAGACATGTACGCTTCATTGATGACTAGTATAAAGTCTGAGGGTCCAAATAAGTTTGTTCTTTTTCTTTTTCTTTTTGAAAAAACTGAAGCAATATACATTTCCACAACTATTTCCAAATTATGAGGAGTCAATTCGATTTCTAAAGTTTTCGACATCCTTTCAAAAGCTACCACAAATAAAAGGACATGGGTACGAGACCAAAAGCTTACATGGTCAGAAAAGATCTGATTTTCCTGTATTGGGCTCCACTACCACCTTTATTAGTAATTAAAAAAATATTTTATAGATCAATTTGTACATTATAAATTTATTAAACTATATTTAATAAAACTTTTATATTAATTTATTAATAATATTTTAATAATTTTAAAATTTAAACTATATTTTTATTATACAGTTTGGTGACTTTGGTCTAAAAGATATAAAGCTCTTAATCATAATGAGCAAGGCGCATCACTTTTTATCAAAACTTTAGATTAGTTGCCTGCAAATTCATCCACAATTTCTAAATTGACCAATCAGGTCTTTAAATATTTCTAACATCTGCATTTATAATTCATTTTTCCAATATAAGTTATATCAAACAAATAAACATTAAGAAAAAATTAACTCATGAGAGAGTTCAAGAAGGATATGCAACATGGAAGATGTAACCATGAATCCTCTAGAATGGAAGTAACGTTGATCCATTCTTTTTGGCCTATAAAAGTTATGTTTTGAAAGACATATACAAAGGTTAAAATACCAATTTGGTCCCTCAACTTTTAAATTTATACTAAAATTACGCATCAACTTCAAAAAAAATTAAAATTGTCTTAAAACTTGAATTTCTAATACCAAAAAAATCATTCCGTTAACAAAAGTGCTACATGATTCTTTATTTTATTACAAAATTAGTTATTTTTTAAAATACCAATGATGTGTAAAATCAAATAATTATATTTTACTATCGTAGTATATTTTTATTTACATATCAGATTTATATATAATCAAAATTGAAAGAACAAATTTGTATTTGTGATTAAAGTTCAAGGATTAAGTTGGTACTTGTCTTCAAAGTTTAAAGACTAAACTGGTATTATCTTCAAAGTTTGAGAACTATTTTGGTACCAAAAATAAAGTTTAGGGACAATATTGATACTTTTTGAAGTTGAGGGATAATTTTAATATGAATCTAAAAGTTAAGGACTAAATTGATATTTTACCTATACAAAATAGACTCTCATTTCATTTTTTTGGTATATTTGATAATGATAGATTATACGAGAGAAAATATAACCCTACATTTTTCCTAAATCCCTCCATTTTCTCTAAATTTTTCCTAACCTAATTCAAGATTCAAACTTAAAATTGTTAATTTACAATATTGAGTTTTTAAGTATTAAATCACCTCCTTAAGAGTAACAATCTTATTCCTTTGCCAACTTAACTTTGCCAACTTAACTTTGCAGTGTTCTTCCTATGTTAGAAAATTCATGTGGCATATATCATGTATCGAACTAAAATAATGATTTTACAATTTCTTTTGTCAAAGTTAGAAGACTACTATACGTAAAATCACAAAAAAAAAAAAAAAAAAACTGAAGTCTACATTTTAAAAGGTTGAGGATCACAAGGCACTGAATTTAAAAAGTTAAGGATGACTCAGCAAGTAATACTACACAATTTGAGGACTAAACAAAGATTTAGTGTTGCTCAAAACCAATGACCAAAGAATCTTCCACTATACGATATAAAGTTAGTGATTGCTTAATCGGAGAGCACCATCCGGTGAGGACGAAGACAGAAAGATAACGTGAAATAATGAGAGAGTGTGTGCCATCCACGCGACTGCCATCCACGCGACTGCCACCAATTATACCATTATTTTCATTAAACAAATAAATTCACATGAATTGAGGTTTTTTTTACTTAGTACACGTTTTCTTGAATTTATTTATTTATTTTTATCAAGGGTGCTTTTTTATTGTCCCTTTTATGTTTAACAATTATTAATTATTATAGAAAATATAAAAATAAATATTATTTTCAAAATTAATGTCATGTAAATAAATTTAAATGGATATTTAAAAAAATTAAAATTAATTTTTATTTTTATAAAAATCAAATTATTAAAATATGTAATAAATACATTTTAAATCTACAATAATATAAGTAAATAAACTCTTTTTAACTTCCCACCAACAATAAAAAATAAAAGAACTTTCCACCCTTACATGATATGTTAGTGACACATTATTGAATAAGATTTTATTACAATTTAAAAAAAATTCATTGTGAATTCTCTTTTCTTTGCTTTTTTTTTCTTGACATTGGTCTTCTTATTTAGATAAGAAAGAAAGAGGAAGATGGGGGAATAGTATAAAGAAAGATCTTAATTTGTGGGGGACAAGGTTTAGGGGTCCTTGTAAACGTCTTCTTTGGGGAAAGAAAAGATGGAGACCGGGGTAGAGAATGCACTATCCAATTGGAGGAGGATGACAACCGAATTTGGGCAAATACTCGAAATCATATCCAGTTTGGATGGAGGTTCTTTCTTGTCCCTCCATTCATGGTGCCTCAATTGTCTCAAAAAGGTTAAAACTTCATTTTGGTCCTTTTATTTTAATAAAAAAAATTTTTAATCCTTTAACTTAAGAAAGTTCATTTTAATCTAGTTCTTAAAATTTATTATCTAGTCCTTTTTTAGTCCCTTATTTGTTATTTTTTACACATGTGATATACTAAATGATGAAAATTTTAAAGTAGAGAAATTAAAAAAGAATTAAAAAAGCTCCTTTTGGATCCTCTATTTTATAAAAATTTCATTTTTAATCCTTTTACTTTAAAATTTTCATTATTTAACATACTACTTATGCAAAAAGATAACAAAAGAACTAAAAAGGAGCTTAACAATAAATTTTAAGGATTAAAAAGAAAATTTTCTTAAATAGAAGAACTAAAAACATTTTTTTATTAATGTAGAGGGACGGGGTTGTATCCTCACAAAACACCGAATCTAGATAGGCCTGCGTTGTGTGCTGTCTCCTGTGGATTGGCTTTAATCATTAATGGACAACACCTTTGATCAACGTGGGCCCAGCTTCAAAGATCAATCCGGTGACGTTTATGTTACCCAAAATAGTTCTCTCTGAAATGATTTTATAAAGCTAAACGGAGTCATGATTCACTTAAAAACATGTAAGGATTTGATTGCAATTTTAAGTTTTTAAATTTGATTCTTAAAAATTTACAAATTTTAGAAAAAATTAAATAATTTTATAAATTAATTAAATTTGAAAATTTAGATATTTATATTAAAATTTTATATCCAATATGTTAGTAATTATTTTATTTTGTATTTTTTATTTTTTAATTTAATTATTTAAAATTTATAAACTAAAACCAAAAACTCAAAATCACAATCATACTAAATAGAACTTAAATTTACTATTAGTTATGCAACTTGGTGATAGAATTATTGGTACTTTTAACTGTAGTCTTAGGGTTTGATTTCTAGCTTTTACCTAAAAAATTATAAGTACAAATTTAACATAAATTATCATTAATTTTTAAATCTAACAGTTGAAGAGATAAAAAGTAAGTATCTACAACATTTATGGGTTGAAGGGAATGAAGAGGAGGAGAAAAATTCCTCTATGTAGTTATCAAAAAAATTTAAAGAGGAGGGAAGGAAGGAGAACGAAGAGAAGGGGAAGGAAGCCCTTTATTTTATTTTTTTTAATTAATTTATTTATCCAAATAAAAGAAGAGGAGAAGAGGAAGCTCTTTACTTAAAAAAAAAAAATCATTTACTTATTCAAATGAGGTAAGGGAAGTTGAAGAGAAAGATGTTGTATCCTTTCATTCCTCTCCTTTCTCCTTCTCTCTATTTTATTGAACCCAAACATCCCGCTAATAATGAGTATATCTCAAGCACAATTAAAGTAGAAATCAACGTATGTTAATATGTACGTGTATAAGTGGATATATAGTTTTTTTTTCCTTTTTTTTTTTTGGAGAAGTGGATAAAGATTCAGCTAAATGCATATATTATTAAATTTTGAGATAAGTGAAAGAGGCTCTAAAAAAGATAAAATTATCTGTATAACTCATTATTTAATGTATTAAAAGAAATTTATTTATGAAATCTTGCATCAGTATTTAGGTAAGGTTTGAATGCCTGATTTAATTTCATTAAGCCCAACTTAAGGAAGGATTTTGACCAATGGTGGTCCAATCCATCTTAAAGTGAACCGAATTTGTTCTCTGGCCTAACTGTGTACGTCCAAGACAGCATGGACATTGCCACATTGCTTTGTTCACCAAAGAAACCAAGCCCAAAGCCATTGTCACTTTTTTTAATCGGCCTTTGTCTCATTCTTTTCAAATGTGATTAAATTTTCAAAATGATCATTGAACTTTCTAAAATCATCCGATTTGGTACTGAAACTTTAAATAGCTTTAAAATGGTTCCTAAATCCTAAACTTTATTTTTCCAGTCCTTTTCGATTCCTTCATTAACGAAAAGCTACGTGACGGGTTAGTCTAGAAAAATTTAGCAAAGCTCTAACTTGGAGAGGCCACGCCATTGTCCCCCTCATACGCTTTTCTTACCTCATTTCTAAGTATTGATTTGCAAGGCACCTACTTACTTGGCACATTTGTATCACCTTAACAATTCTTTGTGTGTAAAATATAGCATTTCTTCAACTGTATTAAAGAAATGAAGTTAATTTGGTATATATAAATTGATTCAAGATATTAAAGTTTTTCTCTCTATATTTTCCTTTTCTCTTAGTTTATTAAAATCAAAATATGAGAGCCAATAAACATGACAAAAGTTGGATCAAGTTCAGATGAATTAATTCATTATAGATTGTGAATTATGTTAGAATCTTCTTAAATATGGGCTGTCATTAAACCCATAATCAGGGGCGGAGGCAGAAATTTTTTTTAGGTAGTGCAAAAAACTAAAATTTTCAAAGTTCAGGGGAGGCTAAATAATTTTTCATATATTAATTTACAAGATTTTCAAATTTCAGGAGGGGCGAGCACCCCGGCACCCCCCTGGCTCCGCCATTGCCCATAATTATATGATCTATAAAAGTAATGGGTATGATTCATCTCCATGATATATTTTATTAAGGAATGTGATATTAATTTGATTGGTGTAAGGCCTATTTATTATTAAGCACCTTAATGGGAGGGCCCGTACTAAGTTTATTTTATTTTGTGCTTGGTCTTCTCTCATATCTGAATCCCTATTATACTCTTATAAATGTTAAGGGTTGTAATATACTCTATTGAGTATTACAGAGTATTCTTGATAGTTAGAGGAAAATCCATGTTTTAGTTATTTTCTATTTCTTTCCTTTTTCTCCTATGGTGCGACTTCTGCTTGTTTGCTTTTGGATTTTCAAAACTGTTATGGATAATCAAGGTATGCTTTCTTGTTTTAGAAAGTAATGATGTTTGGTGTTTTACTATTCGTGCATACATTCTGTTCAATAATTTTTAATAAATTAAACAAATTAGGTCAAACAAATTCATAAATAAGAAATTGTGACACATGACTGCACCCATTCACAAGGTATGTGAAACTGCAATTTTACCCATGTGAGTTACGAGTTTAAGGGATTCACAAGCCACAAAATATCCTTGGTCCTGTCCACAACGGGCAGGATGGATGAGGTTAGTGGGTTAGTGGCTCTTGCCAGGAGGTACATGAGCCGAGATGCTATGACATGCTGATTGATATCTTCTCCTCAACAAACATACAAGCCCGAGACCTAAATATTACATGTCTTGCGGTGAAAGTTGCCCCTACCCTGTTCATCAGTCAATTAGAGGAGTCTCCCACTTTTTTTCTTTTTTTCTTTTTTTTAATAAAAAAAATATTGAGTTAGTGAGTTAATACTTATTCAGAATCAAAATCAAATTAAAAATCAGATGAACTCTACCTACTACTCATGAAGTAGCGTGATCGAGGAGTCTCCCAATTTCTATTCTTACTGGTTCTCTGCAAGATAAGTCCCTGATCTTTTGTCCAAAAACAGGAGTCATCAAAGGCCCTAATCAGTCCACGTGGACCAATTATGTCGCTAATTAATGAAATTCCTAAATTCAACAATTTTTTTTTTTTTTTTATGAAATAGCCATATAGGCTGAACATGACATGTGAAAACGCTAGAAAAAATCTAAGATACTAATACGAAGACATAATATTCATGTCAAATAATATTTAAAAACTCTGCACCTAATTGCTTCAATTATAGTGGGCATTAAATTCAACCCTTTATTGTTTCTTCTTGTTCTGTTAATTATTTGGTTCAACTACCATGTGGGCTGCGTTTCAGAATTCAGAATCATAACCCGACACGAATGCTTTGATGTCTGGAGTCAAAATTGTGATCTTGAGATTAATGGTTCTCAGATTCCCAATATTGAAGAAGCTTTGCTGTTGCTTCCCCAATGGCCAAAAAGTCTACACTCAACAGATTGAAGAGAAGACCACATTTCAATTTCAGATTGTGAAGTCCAAACACAATTGATTGCAATTATGAATTCCCAGCTCTGTGATAGACGCCCTTCCTTGCCCTGCCATTTCTTTTTCCTCAATCTAATAATTTGTCCTTTCCTTTTGCATTTAACTTTGAATGCGCCCAATGGTCGGAAGTCAAAATTGTTGGAGTTTAATATTTTAAAATAATATTATGTAGCTCCTCAAAAAAATATATATATATTATGTAGTTTTTTTTTTTTTTGAATATGAGAAATTATAAGGATAAGGAGATTTTTCAAGTGATCTGTAAGATTTGAATTTTTAATAAATTAAATCTAAATATTAAGGTTTGAAATGAATTATCAGTCACAAAAATTAGTTTAATATTATGTAGTTTATATTATATAATTTAAATTACATAATTTAAATTATTTAAGTGAAAGTAAACTTTTTAATATTAGATATTATTATTTTATTTAATAATTTTTATTTTATAATTTAATTTATAAAATATTACCCTTAATATTTTATCATGTTTTAACATGTATGTTTGTCCTTATGAGAATAGTAAATTAGACAATAAGTTACCCTTAGAATATGATTTTCAATTAATCAAATCATTCCTTTGTTCTCGACGGCCAAAAAATTAATCATTTCCCTTTTTGGATATCACTTTCAAGTTTCAACTCATATGGTAGTTTTTTTTATATGCAAACTTGCAAGCTAATTAAAATAAGTTGGAACATGATTTATTTATTTATAAAATCGAGCTCAAACAACTTGTAATAGTTACTTATTTACAACCATATTGTAGTATTTTTTGAATGCAAACTTGCGAGCTAATTAGAATAAGTTGGAATATGATTTATTTTTAAAATTAAGCTTAAACAACTTGTAATTGTTTTACTTATTTACAACGTTATTCATAAACAATAATGCAAATTGAATTATGTAAATCTTATTTAAATGAATTTTTTTTGAGATAAATCCTAATCAAATGATTGAAAGATAATAGAACAAACAAATAAAT